CCCGCGCTGTCGCTGTCGCCAATGGACTGCGTGCCGTTGCAAGCTGTCCAAGCGCTGCTTAGGTCGGAGGAGTCCGGAAGGCTTACATCCGCTAGTACGGCATCCATGTACTTCCCGGCGCAATAATGATCGCTTGCACACGACCGCAAGGACGGGGCGGCCGATATGTATAGCGCAATCTACCGATTCCCGGTCGCGGACCCACAAAGGACGCGAATACTTGCTAATATACAAACACCGCCGGCCCCTGATATCTCGTCGTGAAGGCAAGTCGGCTGTTATATACTCCATCAGAAACATGTTCACCGCTTCAAATACAACAGTGGCAGTGTTTGCATTAGCCTGGAGAGACACGTCAGCTCTGTGGGAAGGCCGACAAGGCGCTGTCCGTGCTTCACATACACGGCTGCCGAGGGCGTCGTCAGAATGCTGACTTGGATGTGCTGCCTTGCCCTCCGGTGTGCTCACTCGCCACGAATGTTTCCCGGACTCGTATAGCTATGTAGTAGCCTGTAGTACGTGTTAAGAGAGATACCGCAGCGAAAATCAGACGTCGTGAACATGCCTTCCTCAAGGTCCCGCCCGCGGCCAGCAACCCCGTCAAGGCAGCGAGATTTGGGGGTGGTTTCAGCTTGGGAACAGGCATGAGAATGTCTTCCGAGTGCGTCACGCACAGTACGAACCGTTTGCCAGGCCGTCGCATGCGTACACGAGGCGGGGAACAATGTTGTCATGTGGAAGCCATGAAACCGGTCGAAACGACCGGATTTCACACCGCGTCGCATACGCCCAGAGCGTGTGATCTCCATCTCGTAACTGTGAACTCATCCGGTCTGCGTCAGTTTCCGGCCGCGAGCGGGCCTGTTGCAAAGTGAAAACACAGATTTGGTCGCATTCCCTGCAGAGAACACTCCCTCGCGTGTCGAAGTCTGCGTGTATAGATGCGAATCGGTGATCCTACACACACTTCACATCAAGAAACAATATACACTTTGTTCCGAGACCGCCAGGCCAGCAGCGCAGCCGGCATACCCATCTCGTCCTCGAGGTACCAGGGCAGCGCCCATGGACTCGACCGGAATGCAGAATTTGAGAACTACTCTCTACGCTTGGAAAAAAGCAGGAATAAGCAGGAAATATGCACACTACACCCCCTGCATCGTTTCTGCGGCGTTTGCACACAGAAACCGCACAGGAGAGCGTGCGCACTTTCGGACGCAATGAAATCGCCCGAAAGTGCGCAATGTCAAAAGTCGTCCGCAGACGACGAAACCGGGCGCGTTCAGTGCGGAAAGTGCAGTAGATCACGTTTCACACAGTCTTGCGGCCGTCGCGTGAGCGCATGAAGCGGGGGACGATGTTCTCGTCCGGGGGCCATGAAATCGGGCGAAGCGACCAAATTTCAGACGGCTTCGTATCCTCCCGAAACGTGCGCTCGCTGTCGCAGACCGATGCATAGGCAGCTTAACCGCCATTTGCCCGTCGATCGGAAACAGATGGTGAAGGTGAATCGCGTTTTTCGTCAGATTTGTTTGATACATGTCCGCAACAAATCGCCCCCTCACGACGCAGACGCGGCGTTGGACGAATGTCTGCTGGCCGTCCTGAGTACTCCTCGCACCATACAACGATCCGCGACTTGTTGCAAGGCCGTCGGACGAGTTATGCGGCGGGTACACGCATCTCGTCCTCGGGGTACCGGCCCAGCGCCTGAGCAAGTCCCTGATTTCCAGAACGCCGGTCCGTGCGGGGAGATTGGGACGGACGTCTCTTCCGTGTACGTAGCCCACGATTGAAATGGGTTTTGCAGCCTCTGCATGCAGGGGTGACATGGGGAGAGGGGATGCGCCTGCGACCACAATGGAAGTGGCGCAAAGTGCGCGTTTCGAAAACTCCTCTGGGCACTGTGAATCCAAGTGCGTTCGGTGCGGTCCGCTCAGGACGGTTTCCCGCCACAAAACAAGGGCTAGGAAGAGACTATTCGGCTTTGGGCTGGAAGGGCACCGAAAGCACGCCTCCCGATAGACCCTGCGGTTGTGCGACCTCTCGGACGACTGAATCGTCCCCTGTCAAGTCGCAACGCACGGACCTGGCCTGTGCGTGATCGGGAAGCGGGCGGTGGACGCCCATATTCACGCAAGCGTTCGGTACGCGGTCAACGTGGATATCCATTCCGGCTAAACGAGTACATGTCCTTGACTACGTCTACGGCCGGCGGAGACGCGAGCGAGACGAGATGCGATGAGACTCACCTGGACGACGGCGTCCGCTGTGCGGACCGCCGGCGGAGATGGCTGGCCACGTCCCGGTCGAGGCCGTGGTGCCTGCCGTCTGCGGGCGAACGGCAGATGGCGGCAGGGGCAGCGTCCGAGAGGTTGGTCGTCGAGAGCGACGATGATCGAGTTGTCCGCGCGGTGGAGTCGGTGCGCGACGACGGTGGCATTGCGGGCTCGCTGACGGTACAGACAGCCCAGGGGTGCGGACGGCACGGGTGATTTGGTGCAGGGGCACCTGCTGAAGCACAGGGTTGCCGCGCGCCGCGCTTAGGGTGGGATATTGGATGCGATGGAAGCGGAGACTGCGGCTGACGCAGGGAGACGGTGATGGGACAGGTTGTGAGGGAGGACGTACGTACCCGCCTGGGACGGATCAGCAGGGATATAAAAAGGGGCAGGGTGTATGGGGGGAATGCAGACTCACTGACATGTTCGCTCCTCCTCCGCTGTGTCCGACGGTGAGCTTGATGGTGCGCGTTGTTTGATATTGGCGTGAGTGGTGCTTCTGGCGACTAGTGCGCATGGAGGAGTGGTACTGACCGGCGTGCGCTTGGCAGATGTGTTTGTGGAAGTCGCCGCCGAGTCGATGGACGCGAGACGGTAGGCAGCGGTCGGCCGTTGACGGCGACGTTGTGGAGACCGTTGGCGAACACGCGTTTGGTGGGGTGCGTGGGCGTGGTCTGAGGGAGGGACAGGGTGTGCTGGACGATGATGTGCGAGTGGGGGTGTGCGTTGATGTGATGGGGCGGCATGTGGAACGACGTGGTGGAGCTGGTGAAGTGGGCGGTGTCGAGGTTGTCGATGGCGGGGTTATCGATGGCGAGGTTGTCGATGGCGATGGTGACGGGAAAGCCGGTGTCCGGGGCGATGGTGTCGCTGTTGGCGGGCGACTGGAACTTGGGCGACGGCATGTTGGCCTACGCGGCGATGACACCCATCGGGGTCTGGTTGGAAGACACGTCGAGGATCTGGTGACCGTTAGGCTTGTGCTTGTCGGGGCTGTTTGTCGACATGAGCGAGGGCTGCTGGCCGGTGGTGCGGTTTTTCCTGGCCGCCCCGAGCGTAGGCGGCGAAGATGTTGCTGGGGCCGGTGATCAACGATGTCTGGGCATTGGCGGCGTCTTACCTTTGT